TATTTCTTCTTCTTATGGGGCTAGGAACATTTACTATTGTTAGCTAATGTTGTAAGTGAACATAGTCTAAAAAAGTACAAAGAGTAATGTAGAATTGCAGAACTGAAAATAAGCTACTGATTGGGTGCATATCCATTAAGCCTTTTTATTTTTCTGAAAGCTTTTTATTGGATGCCAACACAGCTTGATTTGGAAGGAAAGAAAGTGACTGAATAAACAACATAGTGAGAAAGCTAATCTCTAGTTGATTTCACTTGTGCTGTTAGTGAACTGTGCTTGTTTATAAATTTCAGTTAATGATTAGCCATACATGAACACCTAATATGTTTTGAACTGAATCTTTACTTTCCACCAATTTCATGTTGTAATTATGAATGCTAAAACCATGGTGGGGCCTTTGAGAGGGGCCTTGCTCTTACAAATAGGATTAGTTCCACCAATGAAAAAGACACTGAAGGTCTTTCTTGTCATCTCTGTCATGTGAGGGCATAGCCTTCTGAAAAACAGGAGGTAGGCTTCAGCAGATCATATGTTGCCACTTTCATCATAGGTTTCATGTTGAGAAATAAATCTCTGCTGTATGTTAAGGACAAAGTCCATGGCATCCTGCTATAGCATCCTTGGAAAAAAATAATAATGATACAAGCGTGAGCCCTGGAAATACAGTTCTTCAAGTTACCCTCAACCCGTTATACCAGACAGCTTTTCATGCAAATGCATTGTATATATAACATAATTCTTTTATAAAACAAGTCCTTGGCATACCTTTCTTCTGATGTTAAACCATCATACAGTTCTTCCCCCCACCTTATTTCTTCTCCTCTCATCTTCTTTTCTTTTCTTTTCTCCTCAGATAGTGTCTCAGTGTAGTCCAGGACAGCCTTGAGCTCCCGACACAGCTGCAGACGACATAAAACTTCTAATCCTCCAATGTCCACCTCCCAGACTTTTGTGGTGCTAGGGATAGAATCCAGGGTTTCATCCATGCTAGGCGAGCACTCTACCAACTGAGTTCCATCTCCAACCTTGGTCTTCTATTCTTAAATCAGTGGTTTACAATTGCTCTTTTCCAGAAAGTATATAAAATATGCTTTTCATTGCAACTTCCTATTTCTGCCTCATTGCAGAAAGCATATCTGAATGAAGGTCATTCGAAACATTTTGTTTTTATACCTGGTCTTATATACACATGATAGAGTTTAGAAGTATAATAGAAATCATATTACACTGCCCTGGGAAAAATAGTAAGTTGTTTTTCTCACATGACCAGAAATATTGGAGAAGCAATAAAGGCACACACAGATGCTTAAGGAATTTACCAAGAATCCCTGTTCTTTCTACCTGGTATTCACTGTACTTGCCATGTATCTTCAATACTCAAGACGACTTTCTCACTTGAAGGTACTATGTCTATGAGTAGGATAGGAAGAAAAAGCACAAGAGACAAATTTTAAAAGCAATAGTTATTTGCAAGGTGAAATTGTCCCCTTTGATCATCTCTCCAGGAAGACCCTTCTGCTACCACTTTTTTTAAATTTTATTAATTACACTTTATTCACTTTGTATCCTCCCATAAGCCCCTCCTTCCTCCCCTCCTGGTCCCACCCTCCCTCCCAGTTCTTCATGAATGCCCCTCCCAAGTCCACTGATGGGGAGGTCCTCCTCTCCTTCCTTCTGATCTTAGTCTATCAGATCACATCAGGAGTGGCTGCATTGTCATCTTCTATGGCCTGCTCTCACTTTTATCTCACTGGCCACATTTGTTTTTTTAGTCATCTCTACTTATCGGAGAATGGAAGAAGCTGAATATTTCATTCTGGAAAAATATTTGCTCCTGTCCCCAGTCAGGTCTCTAGTAGGTAGAAGGAGGAAAAGGATGGTATACAGGCAACCAGCAGTCTGTGCCATGTATAATAGCATATGCAAAACATTTTTTCTCAATGACAATTTTATGGAATACTCTGTTACTGGGCACAGGCTACCAGTGACACATTGACTTTATTTTTAAGAATATCTGACTTACAGGAAAAATACAATTCTTGCCCTCATCCTGCCAAATACATGTTGGGGGAGATCTTTTATAAATTCATGCTTCACTACCTCCAGCCTTTACTTGAGCCACCATAGCATCTCTTCATTTTATAGTGCACTGACTCTTTTTTTTTTTCTTTTTGCTTTTTCTTTACGCTGGGAGATCCTTTAACCTTTTCTATCTGGTTAAACGCTACTTATATTTCAAGATAGTCCAAATACCATCACATCCTGGAAATGTCCTTCCCTTCTCAGATCTATTTTTGGTACTCTGTGAATACCTCCATTTAGTTCCTTGTCATTATTTTCTTGCATATGTGTCACTAGTGACAAATGCTATGGCCTCTTCTAGAACAAGGTCTTTAATTTATTTGACTTTTACTACCCAGTGTCTGCTGCAGTTCCTGGAATAAGTTCAAGACACTTGCTTGAGGAAATGCATAGCTGAAAATTACATCTAATGTATAGATGACTTACAAAGAATTGAAGCAAACTGTTCTCACTGTAGTCGGTAAAAGTGCCTTGATCTATGCTCCATCTGTCTAGACCTCAGTGGATCAATGTCTGGTTGTAGAACTATGAGAGACAGAGTAGGTCTTTTTGGTCTTAATTGGTGACATTTACATAATTCAGTAATATAGAGGTTCATATGTATATTCTGTTGTCTGCCCTTCAGCCCACAATCAATAGTTATTTAGTTATATATATATTCAGTTATATATATGTATATATGTATAGTGTGTGTGTATAATGTGAGGTAAAATTTGTTTCTCTAAAAAGAAAAAGTCCGTCATTTCATTTGGACTAATTCAAATTGTATGTAAAGAAATCATGTCTTTATTAACCATTAGGTTACTTAGTGACTAATATTTACCTATGCTCAGCAAACAGTAATTGTTATTAGAGCAAGATTAGGAACAGTCAGGAATAACGTGAGGATACAAAATAAAAAGGGAACCAGAAAAAAGTTCATCCAGAGAATTGGCTGTGGGTTCACAGTTAACCATGTTTATAGCAGTTTTATTCATAAAAGCCAGAACCTGGAAACAACACAGATGCCCCTCAACTGAAGAATGGATACAGAAATTGTGGTACCTTTACATAATGGAATACAACTCAGCAATTAAAAACAAGGAAATCATGATAATTGGTGGGATCTAGAAAAGATCATCCTGAGTGAGGCATCCCAGAAGCAGAAAGACACACATGGTATATTCTCACTTGTAAGTGGATATTAGACATATAATATAGGATAAACATACTAAAATCTGTACACCTAAAGAAGCTAAGCAAGAAGGAGGACCCAGGGTAAGATGATTAATCCTCACTCAGAAAGACAAATGGGACATACATCAGAAGATGGAGAAAACAGGAAACAGGACAGGAGTCTAGCACAGAGGCCTTCTGAAAGGCTCTAGCCAGCAGTGTATAAAAGCAGATGCTGAGGCTCATAGCCAAATTTTGGGCAGAGTGCATGGAATCTTATGAAAGTAGGGGGAGATAGATAGACCTGGAGGGGACAGGAGCTCCACACGGAGAATAACAGAATCAAGAAATCTGGGCCCAGGGATCTTTTCTGAGACTGATACTCCAACCAAGGACCATGGAGGGAGGTAAGCTAGAACCCTTGCACAGATGTAGCTCATGGAAGCTCAGTCTTTAAATGGGACACCTAATAAGGGGAACAGGGACTGTCTCTGACATGAACTCAGTGGCTGGCCCCTTGATGGAGGAGCAGCCTTACCAGGCCACAGAGGAAGACAATGCAGCCAGTCCTGATGAGACCTGATAGACTAGGGTCAGATGAAAGGGGAGGAAGACCTCCCTATTAGTGGACTTGGAGAGAGGCATGGGAGGAGTTGAGGGAAGGATGGGAGGGAATGAGGGAGAGGGCTACAGCTGGGATACAAAGTGAATAAACTGTAATTAATATTAAAATAAAACAAAAGTAAAGTCTTGGTATGATGCCTTCTTTCCTCCTTTGTCTCCCAGTACATGGAGGATAGACATTAGTAGTCAGTCTCACAGCACCTTCCCCAGGCTGAGGATACAGTACAGCTCTAGAACACTTGCCTAACATATGTAGGGATGAGGTGCAATCTGTACCATCAAAAAAACAGACTGACAAACAAGCGCCTTTGCACTTGAGCCCAGAAATGACCTATGAATCCATCTTTGTGCTAAGGTGCTTCAGATGTCTTCTGTGAAAAGAATGCCAAAATGGTGAACTATACTTCCATCTTTCATGCAGCCTTCATAAGATCCATTTAGTCATTTTCTTTGTCTAGGTGTTTAACCCCTTTACAAGGCAAAGGAAGTCACTTTAACAGTGTATCTGCAGGTGTTCCACCCTTCCTTTCAAAGATCAGATTTGCTCTATTTCAATCATCAGTCTATATCTTCTCTCCTGTCTTTCTGTCTCTGCTAGAGAAAGGGTTCATCCTTTCTATAGACTCCAATTGAATAAGGAGTGAGCTAGCATGGACCGAATAGCAGGAATTGTATTTAACACTTTTTATTTATACATTTTTGTTTCTCTAACCACATGAGGTCATTATTATAAATATCCCCATTTTACAGAAGGGGAAGTGGCCACCAAGAGATTTAGTCATTTGCCTAAAATCTGAAAGCTGGTGAATGATAAAGAGAAGATTTAGTCTAAGATCTTTGATATCTAGCATGTTGCTAATGGACTGTGGAGAGTTAATTGGTTTAAAATCAGATTTGTGGCTTTTTATCATACCTCAAAGTACTTTGCTTTGATAACAGCCTAGATACTTGTCCTCAGTCTCTTGAGTCGTGCAGCTTCTGGAGGCAAGTGGAAAATGAATAAATGTAGATCGTATGTATTAGAATCAACCAACCTACTTAGGACTTCATACCCTTCAGGTATAATTCTGCCCCCAGAGATTCTGTTGATGAAAATGTAAAACATACCCAGTTTAATTTCTTGTGCCCCTTTCCTGTAGGCTGTCGTCCATATCAGGTGATCACAGCCCGAGTTCACCCTGGAGAGAGCAATGCCAGCTGGGTGATGAAGGGAACTTTGGAGTTTCTAGTCAGCAGTGACCCTGTGGCAAAGCTATTGAGGGAAAACTTCGTGTTCAAGATCATCCCTATGCTTAACCCAGATGGTGTCATCAATGGCAAGTATGTCACCTGTTGGCCCAATGGACCCACTACTGCATTCATGTCACTATAGTAAAAATCCACTGGGGCATCAAATGGGCATAATTGTAGAAGCCTTGGCACCCTAAGGGAGCTCCCTTGGGCTCCTTCTATCTGGAACAATTAACAAGGTACCCTCCTTGCACATTTGTACATGTCTCATGGTATTTCTTTAAATAGAAACATACGAAATCACAAGAATTTAGTGCTAGAAAGTTACAAGAGTTAACCTAGTCCAGTGCTTCAATCACAAAGAAGGACAATGGTATCCAGGGTTCCAACAACTCACCTGGCTCACTTGGTGAACCACTGGCATTTCAAGGTTCAGTCTACAAGTGTTCATGATGACTACCAATTCCTTCGCATTGTATTACTTCTAGGTGCAAAGAGATACTCATTCCGTTATATTTTACTTGTTTCTGGATATAATTAAAATAAGAGTTTCACTTCAGTGGAATGGGATGTGCCTGGAAAAGAGATCCTCATTTTCACTCTTCTGTTGTATACCCTTTAGGATGTATCAGGAAATAAGACTGTTTTGTTTGATGAGGTCTGTCAGAAGGGCTCAAGGTCTAAGATCAGGCCCAGATGAGGTCCTCAAAGCACATGACCAAGGAGTGGTAAGATTAAAATTTACAGATACCCATTTAGCATTTTTTAGTAGGAGATGGTTTTTTTCCTATACGAATGGAGTTTTTGTCCTGTGAGTAAACAAATGAAAGACAAATAGAAAATGATGAGAGGAAGAAATTACTTCAAAGACTAAAATGAAAATACTATTTTAAAATATCAGTATTAAAGAAGCAAAAAATTAAATTTAGAGAGTTCACAAAATAAAATGACAGTAAAGTGGTGCAAAACAACAAATGAAAAGAGTCATAAAGAAACACAAAAGCTTGTAAGTGATGAAGGAACTTAAATAAAAATTATGTAAGAAAAATAAAAAGGTTAACTCTTGAGAAAGGAAATTAAATGTTAAACAACTCCAACAGACTTCTCTCTTTTATAACTATCAATGTTGTTTAATTAAAAGTGTAAGAATATAATGGCTCCACATAATAAACATGATCTATTGTATTCTGTGCATATAACATGCATTTTATATATAAATACATAGTATTATATAATATAAAAATTATATAATAAAATAGAAAAGAAACAGTGTAAATCCAAAACATGTAAGATGTCAAAGCATGTCAATGCAAACTAATCAAGCTATAGACCATAAAAATAATACTTACATTAAATATAAAAAGAAAAGCCTGAATGAAAGAAGTATAAATGAAGAAAATGAAAGCAAAGTGTACCAATCTGTACTTAACATATTAGGTTAACACAACTAGCTTAGCTCAGTAGTTCATAGCTATTTTATATTTATTTGCTTACTTTATTTCTTGATAACTCATTGTTTTATTCATTCATCTGTTAAGAAGATCATAAGGTCCTTCTTCTCAATGCTGACTTGAGGATCAGGAGGCCAGGTTCTTCACTGAAGAGCACCAGTCTCCTCTGACAGCAATGAGACTTCTAGGATCTTAGGCTGGATCAGGTTCTGGAGTTTCTTTAAGGCTTTCCAGAGTTCATTTGGCAACTGCCATGCACTCCTCTAAGTCCATAGTAGACCTCCTGCTCCTCCCTGCTTGAGCAGCCAAGAATTTTACTAGCAATCTTTCTGAACTTAAATGGATGGAAAATATTTTAAGGGAGGCATCTATAAGGACATGACCCCACTTGGATATTTTTTAATCCAACTTGGCTTGATTCTCTCTTTTCATGGAACTGTCTGGGGTCAGGAAGAGACTAAAATGTGTATTGGACTAGGAGTGTTAACTGAATGGGACCTCTGGCCTGATCTACTCAGTTTTCTCCTTTGGTAGAAGAAGACAATGTAATGTGCTCCTGATAGACTTTCTTTCTTTTTTTTTTTTTTTTTCTGGAAAAAAAAGTTTCACATACCCAAAGTAATATTCAATCTTGAGGGACTGAGTGTTGAACTCCTTCCATTTCAATGCTCATACTTCCAGATTAGGGCTTGCTCCAGGTCTTTAGTCAGGGTTAATGGGTTTTCAGTCACCGAGGAGCCTGTTGGCTGGTGTACACATTATTTCCAGCTCACAGCTGGTTACTTTGTTTCCCAAATGGCAGGCCAGCTTCTTCCCAGTGACAATGGCATTCATCATCATTACTATTATTTATTATGACTCTGATTGCTCTTTTTATTTATACTGCATCTTTCATCATAGAGCCTGAGGCACTTTGTAGATCACTTGGACTGAACAAACAAGTATGGCTGAGGAGAAATTGGAAATCATAACACTTTCCACAGATAGAATAATCAGCAGGCCATAGTACATCATTATGAAAGGACACAATGCCGCCATGGCTGCATGGCATTTCGTAATTAAAAGCTTGAAACTCAAGAGCCTAGGCCCATTTCAGAACAGAGTTGGCAACTGCTTCATCTAAGTTTCACTTGAGATACTTCTGTAACTGATGTTCCATGGTCAGGTCATGCTCACACTGTTGTATATAATAAGGTTGGTGTTAGTTTTATTGTGCCTTTGCTCTTTGAGCTTCACCCACTGTAGTCAGGCTTCCATGTATAGATCACATTCTGCCTGTGCCCGTTTGAGTTTCCCCATGAGAAATATTCTCCAAGCTTGATCTAGTTCGTCTAATCTTTGTTTATGGTTATCATTCCAAATGTTCAAAAAATGGTTTTCCATGGATGCAATGCTTGTTAACAGACATCTGAAGGGGCAGAAGTGCCCTATATATATATATATCTGACTAATAAGGAGATAGACTTTGCATACTGTTGGTGATTCCAGACATCATCATGGCACTTAGAGCTAGACTATACTTTGTATGCTTGTGTGTTTGCTTTTGTTTGTGAGCTCAGAGGTTGTTGTACATATATGTATGTGCATACATGTGAGACCAAAGCACAATCTCAGATGTCATCTTCGGTGGAAAATTTTGTCTGTCAATTAGACTATATCTAGGATCAGCTAAAACCCAAGTATCTGGGCACACCTGTGAGGAATTTGCTTGACTGGATCATTCTTGGTTAGGAGACTCTCCCTAAACCTGGGTCATACTTTCTGGTGACACCCTACATGCAATGTAAAGGAACAAGAAAAAAACAATTGCCTGTTTGTCCTCACTGTCACTGGCAAACTCACCTGTCTGGATGCTGAGACATTCCTTCATGGGTATTAGAATCCACTTCTCTGAGATTCCAACACAGACAGAAGACTAGCTGTTCTCCATGAATTCCCTAGGATTCCAGTATCAGATTGGGATTCCTGAGACATCCTGTCTTGACTGGATAAATACTGGATTCTTGACCTTTTGATTGGGATATAGCCATTCTTAGACTACTAAGGCCATGGCCTGTTAGTCATTTTAATATGTGCACTTTTGATATATATATATATAATTATATAAATATGTTTAATATACATTTCTATGAAATATAAAAATATATTATATATTACATATTATGTAAATGTGCAATCTATATTCATATAAAATATAAATTTAATTATATGTATTTCACACTTATGTGTATTTTACGCACACTCACATACACACACACACACACACACACACACCAGGCAGTTTCATTCCTTTAGAGAACCTTGACAAATACACAATACAGCTTGCATTTCACTAACCAGGGACATGCCAAGTAGGCTGGCTGATCAGAGAGCTCCAGGGATCTACCTGTTTTTGCTTCCCCAGTTCTGGAATTTCAAGTGCTAGATATGGTCCCTGGCTTTTTTGTTTCTAATGGTGGTTCTGAGGACCAAGCTCACCTTCTAATGCTTGCAAAGCAATTGCTTTACTGATGAAGGTATTTCCCCAACCCCATAATAAACTTTTAATTTAAAACTTATCATGGACCTCCATGGAACTTGCAAACATGTGTAATAATAGAGTAGTTGCCTTTTGTGGCAGTGGTGATGGAGCCTCTGAGAATGGCTGAGACATTTTGATAATAGTGGTCAGGGAGACATAGCCAGAATTTCTAGCAGAAAATATAGTGAGTCCTGCCAAGTCAAGGATCTCTTAGCAACACGAGTCTGAGCAGGGAAACAAACACAAAGATGTATCTGTTATGATTAATTCCAAAAGAAACAATTTCCCATCTGCTGACTGGGCCAATGTATTAAATTAGGCTGAGTTCTCAGTAAGACAAGACCAACACAGTGGTTCTGAGACTCACAAATCTTCTCAGGGTGGAGTAGAAGACAATAGGGGATTAGCAAATCATGTTAAATCAGGAGGAGGACTGGTAGGCATATTAAAGTGGGAATGGAGGCTAAGGCAAATGGCTTTCAAGCTGCTGCATTGGTAAAGATGCTATATACATTGGGAGAGAGTGAAGGAGGAAAGAAGGCAAACATGATTCTCATTCTTAAAATTTCAGATGTTGATGCCACACAACAGAATAGTTCTTCCAAAGCCAACACAGAGCCTAATGCTTTATTCACAGGAGAATGAGCATATTTATCCTAGGAATATACACAACTCCATGGACACGATTATCTTCTTCCAAAGGCATCGTGGAACAGACGCTAACAATAATGAGCACAGGACCTAGCAAACACAGCAAGGTGTTAAAAAAAAAGTAGTAGCTGAATGTACCAGAGGGAACAAATCAAACTATAAAAATCACATAAACATTCTCAACAACCTTAACAATCCTGGGACCATTTCAAGTGAGGGCCAGCAATTGACTCCACTGTGGGCTGTGAAGGCTTTACCTTCCTACAAGAAGATCACATACAGACCTGACCTAAAAAAAGCACTCAATACCTTTTATGGGCCAAGAAAGTACCTAGTTATTATATTTATATTGTTGTATTTAATATGTTATTTATGTTATCTTATTTAATTATCACTATGACCCAACTAATGTAGGTCTTTTTGTAAGACAACTTATAGATAAGCAAACTTGAATACATAGAGATTAA